CCTCCAGCAAAGCCTTGGAGGTGGCGGGGTCCTGCGCCTCCAAGGCTTTGCTCGGGGTGTCCCTCGTCTGCTGGGAACCCCCGCAGCAGACCAGGGACACCTGGAGCAGCTTTTCTTGCCCCGGAGGACGCGGTGGCGGGACCACTGCGCGTCTGGGTGGTCCCGCCGCCCGCGAGTTCCGGGGCGAGAAAAGCCCCGTTCGTAAGTGCGGATCCGACCTAAGTCGGATCCGCGTAACTCGGGGACTGCCTGTACCTAAAAGGGTGTTACAAGGAAGCGGGAAGAAAAATTATTCTCCTTAACCTCTGATGATAGTCCAAGAAGCAATGGGCTTAAAACGAAGCATGGGAGGTTTAACCTGGACATTAGGAAAAACTTCCTAACTGTCATGGTGGTTAAGCACTGGAATAATGGACCTAGGAAGGTAGAAGAGTCTCCATCACTGGAGATATTTAAGAGCAGGTTAGATAAATATCTATCAGGGATTATCTAGATTCATGGTGTCCAACCAGTTCTGAAGCTATAGCCACTCCTGTATGTGTGGTGTGTGGTCTACTGTGCTCTTGTGGCTCAGATCTGATACTGGCTTGCAGAGGCAAGAAAAACCTGAGATGAAGAAAGTTCTCTCTCCTCATCCTGCTCAATGGAAGAGGAGGAGCAGATGCAGCTAGTGGCATGCATGGTATACTTTTGAGGTACATGTTTCCCTCAAGCACATGAGGGAGTGTCTATCCGATAGCTACTGCCTCACAGCAAGACATACGTTTAAATCCAGGAGATCCTGGCATTTCCAAGGGAATATTCCGTGATGCAAATATATGTATATTTTTTAATATGGGGAGAAGAAAACTAGGAAGTCTTGACCAACTAATCCAGCCGTACTAATAACACTAATCTGTTATATATAGAAACTGTTAAAAAGAAACCCTCCAGTACAGCAAGTGAAGGCACTGCTGTAGCTCTGACTTAAAGGATGGCTAAGAAGCATCTAAGTGTGGGGGATGGCTGCACAACGCTAATCAACTACCCTCAAAGGCACAAGACTGGAAGACTGCATGTGCAGCCCAGCCAGGTGCTGCTGTCAAAATTATCCAGCTGGAGGAGCAGGGCACTCAGTCACCTAAAATAAAACACCCACAGGTTCAACACTCGAAATAACTTATTTTTAACCTTTGCAAGTGACCTTTAACATTCTCTCCATTTGCAAATGAATGCAGGGATAAGAATTGGTAAAGACTTATGAAAGTCAATCTACTGAAGTTTTGGGGAAGGAGAGAAATTCTACCTTCAGGGTGTGTCTAGACTACAGGGTTTTGTCGACAAAACTAAACCTGCGTCTACACTACCGCTGAGTTCTGTCGACATTATGTTGACAGAACTCAGTTTTGTCGACGCTGGTAAACCTCATTTTACGAGGAATAACGCCTTTTGTCGACAGAGTTCTGTCAACAGAAGGCATTATTGCATCAACACTGTCCTTTGCATCTACATTGCCATGTCGACAAAGCAGCTTGCTTTGTCGACAGAACTGAATGTAGTCTAGAAGCTTTGTCGACAGAAGCTTTGTCGACAAAACTTCTGTCGACAAAAGCCTGTAGTCTTGACGTACCCTCACAGAAAATAAACATTTCTCCAGAAGACTGTTTTTTAAAACGGTGGTTTTTTCCCCCAAGATCCTCAAATTTACACGGTTAAAAACGGCCTGGGGCTGGGACATATTAGTAAATATAAGTGGTGGGCAGCATACCAATGAGAAAGTTTCATGATAAATGCAGTTTCTCTTGTGGTTAGCACAATATAGCTCCAAGTGAAATATAACCAAGTTCTGTAGTAATGAGAAGTTCAAATCAGGATTAACAAGTAGCAGCCCCCATCCAAATCCAAAAGTGTATCAGTTTTTTGAACTTCATACATTATAAATCAATCTCACTTCTTACCTTCTTCTGCTTCTACTGGCTGCTGTGATAGAATCTTAAGAAGAACTGGATTTTTCCACACTCCTTCCCTAGTAATGTCAACCAATATTTGGAGGTTATTATTGCCAAATTCCAGTAAAGCATCATGTGAATCCTATAAAACAAACAACAAAAATAAACAGAAACCCAAAATTCATTAAGAGAATTTTAAATAGGATTAAATATTTATTTTAACTTGGGCAACCACCAGCCAACTATACTGTTTTGGCATTATACCAGTAAAAAATGTTTAAACACCTGTCAGCTGCATCATGGTAATTTCTGAATGCTTAATTTCTGTTGTGCTGGGTTGGGACACTACAATGTTACTTGTTAGTAAACTGGCTTTAAATTCTGCAGCTGGGTCTTCTGGTTGATGCAGCATTCTGGTTAGACATCTTCAGTTAGACATTTTCAGGAGTTAAATGAAAAAGAAGCATCCCTAAAATAGCCCAGGTCCTATTTATTTTTGTAGTAAATATATTTACACTAACTCTTCATTTTCTGTGTGCCTCAAATTTTCCTAGCTGAACCAAAGTAGTCAAAGGGAAAAATGGAAGTTTTGGCAGAAGATTAAGGATATTTGGGGCTTTTAATACCACGTAAAATGGGGGGTGTGACTGGAGAATTGTGGGATAAGAATATTAACTTGATTCATTTTAATGACCATTTAAAGAGCGTAGTAGTTCAGGACAGCAATACAGTAAATCCAGGATTTATTGGTGTTGTTTCCAACTATTTTATTATGTACTTAGCTGGTTGTTGTTGTACACGGGTGGACAACCCGTTCCAAGCAAAGAGCCAAGATATCAGTGGATCCAGCACAAAGAGCCAGGGCAAAGTTGTTGGGGGGAAGGGGGGCAGACAAGGGGGGAGAACTGCCCATTTAAGAAAATGCGTTGAGGCTTTTTGGCCACATCAGGCTCCCGCAAGCCGAGACGCCATCTTTAATACTCCATCTTCAATGGCCGCGCCGGATGGCTCCCCTGCCCCGGTGAGCATAGGTAGCTGGAAGGAGAGGGACATTTTGAGGGGCATGGGGAGGAGTGTGCGGGTGGCTTTACAAGCCACGGGGGGAAAGGAGAGGGCTTCGCAAACCACACCCTGGGCAGGGGGTAGGGGGCGGGGCTGAATGCAGCTCATGAGCCATGGGTTGTCCACGGCTGTTCTTGTACTATCTTGGTGGCATGTATTTACATAGTTCATGTGCTTCTATCCATGCTAGCAGTTCTAGTGCTGACACACACTAGACTTGCAAGCAAACATTTGCTTTTCACATGACCTATTATTCATAGTATAACTTTTGCTTACTTTGGTTCATGCACCAGGTCCATGCTTTAGCCTCTTTGCTTCCCATTGTAAGAGAAAGAATGCAGATTCTTAACTTGTCATCTTTCAGAGTTGATACTCTTTTGACATACATAAGACCAGTTCACACCTCAGAGAAAATTGCTATTTACTTTGCAATAACTGTGATTCTTGGAGACCTTGAAGATATCGTAAATCCCATTCAAGGAGTGCATGTGCCTCATGCACAGGAGATTCATGCACTCAGCTTTCTCATTCTTCAGTGGGAAAGCTTAAAAGGCATAAGACCCATAACCCTCCCTCAGTTCCCTTGCAATTCAAATCTTTTGTTAGTTAAGGACTCCTAACACAGACAAAGAATTGGGATTATGGGGGCCCACCCATCAGTTGCATCAGTGAAACAGCCATCAATACTCTACAAAATCTGGTGTCTGTTTTGGGAATTAAGTCCAATGCATAACACTTGATAAAAGGGCAGTGAATTATTCCATGTTGTGGCCTTACAATGCAAATTGGAGAGCTCTAAACCAGGAGGAAGATGTCTCGAGTTCTAAAAGAGGTACACAGCCAACTGGAAACACTGACAAAGAATTGCAGTGTAATGCAATGTGTGATGCTATAGCCTCGGAATAACCACAGTTGTAGACAGAAGTAACAGGGGACAAAAACCTGATAGTTTGGGTTTGTTGCTGTAGTAAAAAGACCCACCAGATATTCTCAGGATTAAAATATTTTCTTCAGATGAACAGTGTACTTTTGGGAAGATGACAAGCAGGTTAACTATTCACAAAAATAATGAGACCACTTGAGTGACAATGAGAGAGGGTTTTCAACACCCAATTGTGCCTATGAAACATCATGTAAATAGGATAAACTTAAAAAAAAAACAAATAGTTTGGTAGCACTTTAAAGACTAACAAAATATGTAGATGGTATCATGAGCTTTTGTGGGCACAACTCACTTATTCAGATGACCATGTAAATAGGGCTAGTGATAAGTACTTGGCACTCACTTGCCTGGCCAAAGTTATACCATCTAGGATCACCATCATGTACTGAAAGCAGAGTGGATCGATTTAAATGAAAGCAATTTAAACAAACCAAAAAAAAAAAAAAAAAAAAAAACCATGGACTTAAATCAAGTTTCCCAATTATACTTTTTCACATTTCTTCAAACAATGACACAAAGAGTGTATACGTTGTGTAATTTTTTTAGATACTTGATTTTTATTAATTTAGGAAATTGTACAAAATACTCATTACCTGTGTTAAGTTGCAGATGTAGGAATCTAAGCTGGAATGGTAAGAACTAAATCGTACACACAAACACAACATCACTAACATTTTATTAAGCTAAACCTTAAATGCTACATAAACGTTTCATATTTCCATTGTAGTAGTCTCCGGAGTTGCTGGCTGATGGCTGCCCTTACAGATTTTTATTTTTTAATTTTCATATTTTATTGACTAACACAGTGGCTCCCAATCTTTTTTATACTGTGGACTGGCAAACCCATTCGTGAACTTTTGGCAGACCGGTAACATGTTATTTGCATAGTTATTATGCAAACAAAACGTTACCCGTCTGCCAAAACCCCGACCCCCTGAGCCAACGCGAGCAGACGGCTTCAGCTCCAGCAGTCGCCACATGGTGGGTGGCTGCCACAGCTGAAGCCAGCAGTTTGCAGCAGCTCTGGGGGACAGGGCTGTGGGACATCTTGGCCCCCCGAGGCCCGCAGGGCCAACCCTAATTGCTAGAGCCACCCACCCCTCCACTACCCTCCAGCACCAGCCACTGACCCTAGAGTCCTCTGCACCCCGTCAGTGCCACCCTCCCACCCACCCCAGTGCTAGCCCCATGTCCCTTAGAGCCTCCAGTGCCAGTCTGTTCCTTAGAGTCTCCAGAATCCCCTCCTGTTTCCAATAGTAGCCCCACCTCCAGAACCCCTCAGTATTAGCTTCAGCCCAGAGCACTCCAATGCCAGCCCCCGCAACATTTTAGATCCCCCCCCCACTTGCACTAGCCATGCCCTGAGCCCCCAGTGGCTGCCCTTTCCTCCTCACCTAGCCCTGCGCTGCCTCCCAGCTGCCAGCTAAGCGCTCTTGCCTGGGTCGCAGATGCTCTAAGACTGCTGTACAGGGCTCCGCATGGCCCTCTCACTGTGCAGCAAACCACTCTTCCACATCCAGGAGGAGACCCTGCCCCTACCCGTCGTTGGTTGGCTGCGGCGTGGGGCAGGACACATCTCTCCCAACAGTGTCCCCCAGCCCAGGCTGCCAGCGGTTCATGGCTCAGCACCAGTCTGCAGATCAGCAGTTGGAACCACTGCTTTAACATACAAGTCCTCAGAATACTAAATCTACTAATTCTACAACTAGCTTTCATCTCCCTCGCTGTCTTTTTTATGCAGATCTGATTCCATGTTACCAAAAAAAACCTAGGACTGATTGTGCTTAGAGTGCACTTAATTTTGAAGTAAGCCCCACTGAACACAATTATAGCATGGGGTTCCACCTTTGGGAAAGCTGAGTTACGTTGAAGTAAAATAGGGAATAGACTTGGAGCATTACAGTCTGTGACCACAATATTCCAAAATAAGAGGCATGTATTATCTATCTATATTTTAGAAATTTGTATATCTTTCTGCAAATCTGTTTGTTGAAGAACTGCTCCTAAACAGTAAGACCTAGAAGCACCAAATATGGTATGTAGCTTCCTCTTATCCCAACTTAAAGCAAGGTCATGGTTTGGTTGTGCCAGGAAAATGGGATGTGCCTGGAATTCAATTGTTTTCTATTAACAATGGAAAGGGAGGGGGCAGAGGAGGAATGCAATATTCAGTCACCACATGGGGCAGTGAGCACAGGGGACAGCTATATTGCTGAGTGACAACTGGAGGCAGCTGCACCACCAACGAAGTGACTAGCTGAGGACAGGGCTCACCACCTTGCCTATACCTGTTCTCATGCAGAATAGCGAAGTCACGTGCAGAATAGCGAAGGCAAGTTCTGCTTTTGGTAGACTGCGCCCCACTGTATGGGAACGTCGAGGAATCAGCCAAACAACAAAACTGAAGGTCTACAGAGCAGTGGTACTCACCACCCTCCTGTATGCCTGTGAAACGTGGACCGTGTATCGGAGGCATGCAAGACAGCTTAATCACTTCCACATGATTTGTCTTCGCAGAATATTACGCATCAGATGGCAAGACAAAATACCAGACACTAAGGTTCTCTCTAGAGCAAGTTTACCGTCAGTCTACACTCTGCTGATGAGTGCACAGACTAGATGGGCAGGTCATGTCATTCGTATGCTGGACGAACGTATACCTAAGCAGCTCCTTTTTGGGGAACTCTCTACTGGTAAACGCTCGCATGGTGGACAGAGAAAACGTTACAAAGACACACTCAAGGCCTCCCTGAAGTCGTTCGGAATTGATACAACCACCTGGGAATCGCTGGCACACAACCGCCCTGCCTGGCACACAACCGCCCTGCCTGGCACAGTCTCATCCACAAGGGATACCAAGCTCTCAAAAAAAGGCACATCTCTGAAGCACAACACAAGCGCGTGCTGCGCAAGTCCAAAGCTACCAGCGCAACGATAGCAATGCCTACACATGTTTGCCCGACATGTTCCAGAACATTTGGTGCCCGAATTGGCCTGATAAGTCATCTTCGGACACACTGTATCCGGTCTCAAAGCACTTGGTGTTGAGGTCTTCATCAACCACGATGGACGAATAACTCCTCCATTTTTTGAGGAGTAACGTTGGTTCGAGCCAAGGGGTTTGATTTGAACTAACG